TTTTCTAACATAAGTGTGCAGTATTTCTTCTGGATACTGAATTACATCTGCATAATGTTATGAAAATAGATATCTCATTATCAGGATCCTTACAAGCCTGATTCCTCAGAAAGCAAAGCACGTCCTTCCTGACATTAAAGATTCTTCTGGTCAATGCCTGCTTTATTCTGGTAAAATTTGAAAAACAATTGGTAAAATTTGGTAAAATGTGAAAAACAGTGATAATCACTAACATATTATTCAGAAAGTTTATTCTATTGAAGCCATTTTGAATGCAAAACATATTCTACATAGTGTATTACGAATTGGCTTTTAAGATTCTACATGATTTGAGGCTCTTTTATTTTGAAATAAACAGAATACATTTACCGTACATTTGGTTGTCATTTCAAATCTTCTTGGACTGTTACAGCTGTCTTCTGCCACAAATGACATATTCCCTCTTCCCCGGTTCACTGTTGATGGGTGGCTGCCTCTGCTCGTATTCTATTTTTATTTGACCTGAAGCCAATTGCATATATTCCAGTGGACAGAAATGGACCTCGCATGACTTTCATTCCTGTTCCTTCAAGCTGGTCTGCTGAAATGATTGATATTTCCCAATGACTACCACACTGAAGATTAAGTATCAGAGGGGTAGCCGTGTTAGTCTGAATCTGTAAAAAGCAACAGAGGGTCCTGTGGCACCTTTAAGACTAACAGAAGACTAAGTCCTTTCCGCTTTGCTTGATTTACACTGGCTTTCTCAGATTTGGTCTTGGATTGCAAACCAGACAGGTCCCCATTATTTAATAACTAAAGCAGTGGAGTGGCTAGAGGTACTGTTGCAAGACTACATCCTGCTTTTTGGAGATGCCATTCTGATGCAAAGGAGTCTAATGGTTCATTACCAGGGAAAGCCCATTGTTTTCCTGGTATACCTGCTGTATTTTAAAATGTATAGGTTGGTGGCCTCATTTGCACGGTTTAAAAGGATAGAAACCTTTTCAGCTTTTCAAAAAGATAAATCCTAGAACAACAGGCAGGAGTCCATCAGCACAAACAGCACAGTCTACATTCATAGATGAACACATTACAAAGGAGAGAGAGACAAGGTGGGTGAGGTAATATCTTTTATGGGCTCAACTTTCTGTTGGTGAGAGAGGCAAGCTTTCCAGCTTACACAGAGCTCTTCTTCAGGTCTGGGAAATGTATTCAGTGTTACAGCTGAATACAGGGTGGAACAGATTGTTTAGCATAAGTAATTAACACACATTTCAAAGGACCAGTCAAGGTGAAGTGGCCTATTAACACCTCTGCAGTCATGGGGGCAGGAAAGCTGGGGGGGGGGGTGTCTTATGGATTATACATTGTTGTAATGAGCCATACACCAGGTGTCACTATTCAGTCCATGATTTTTAGTGTCCAGCAAAGTTATGAATTTAAGCTCCCAGGCTCATCTTTTGAAGGTGTTGTGCAGGTTTCCTTTGAGGATGAGGACTGAGAAGTCAAATTGTTTACCAACAGGTGATATGGTGTTTCTGTCTTCTATCATTTTGCTATATGAGTTAATCTGAGCGTGTAATGGTTGTCTGGTTTCACCCACATAGTTTTTATTGGGGCAGTTAGTGCACTGGATGAGGTACATGACATGTCGTGATAGGCATGTGGAGGACTCAGGGGTCTTGAAAGGTGTGTTGTGAGCGGTGTTGATCATGGTAGAAGTGGAGGTTTGTGTGCAGGTTTTGCATCTGTTGTTCTGGCAGGATCTTCCGTAAGAGTGCCATGGCCAGATATGATGGGTTTGCCTGGGTTCCCTTGTTTGTGTATTTTGGGAAGTGTAGAAGCTCCCTGGGGTGGCTTCATGGGGAATGAGATTGTAGAGTTTCTCTTGGAGTTGTTTTGGGAAGGATTTGATGATATCCTTAAATTCCTAAGTAAATTGTGGTGTGGTGTCTTCTTTGAGTTCTTTATAATAGATGGTGTGGGAGAGTTGTTGGTTGGCTTCATTAACATAGTCATCATGGTTGAGGACTATGATGGCACCTCTTTTGTCTACTGGTTTCATTCCGATCTGGTGGTTGGATTTCAGGGACTGTTTAGCTGTCCTCTCAGCAGTGAAGAGATTGTGGAGGATCTGATGTTTGTTAAGGATTTCACAGTCAATTTTTTTCCAGAAAGCAATCAATGTAATGATCAGAGCATGGTTTCATCTGCTGTGGAGTGTCCATTCAGATGGTTGTTTTTTCTTCTGACTGTTGGTGAGGACTTTGTAATTGTGGACAGTGTCATCAACTCAAAAGCTTGTCTCTCTCACCAACAGAAGTTGGTCCAGTAAAAGATATTACTTCACCCACCTGGGACCCCTAATGTCCTGGGACCAACACAGCTACAACAACACTGAATACAACTTATTACAAATAGCATTTTGCTCAGGAATCTTGGTTGTCCAGCCTTATGATTTCTCTCAAGCAATAGGCATGCAAATGCCCATAGAGTTATTACCATATGGTTTAATGGAAATAGCACTTTCTGCTATTGTCTGCATTTCTGATTTCCCAGACACAGATTGAGATTTTTTTCATATAAAATAAATAAAGGCAAAAATCTCAATTGACAGGATGTTGAGCATAATTTGTTCCTGTGTACACTGACTGCAGAGTCAAGGTCAGCTTTGTATTAGTTGATAATTAGGGTCATGCATGGGCGGCGCATATCGTAGGCTGGGGAAGGCTATGCCAGGCTATGCTGGGCGCTGCCACCTGCCTGCCCAGTGCCCTGGGGCTGGGGGATGCACGCTGCCCACCTAGCACTCCAGGGCTGGGTGCGCTCGGGCTTCAGCAGGGGAAGGAGGGTGGGAGGGACAGGGCCTCAGGCAGAAGGGGCAGGCCAGGCTGGGGGCTAGTTTCCCTGAACCCATAGTTCACCCACCACCCGTGAGGCCATGTTCTAACTCGATATACTTCTCCAGTGAAGACAAGCCCTAAAACAAAGGTCTCAAAAGGCAAAGAAAACTTACTAGGGCAGAGACAAATATAAATGAAACTAAGCAAAGAAAAATGTTGCTGAATATATGGGAAAACCTCCTAATATGAGATCTATTATGTTGTAGAATAGTCTCCCAAAGAAAATGGTGGAATGACCAGTCTTTTGGTCAATTAAAGTTGGACTAGATAAAGCATTTGGGGACAGACTGTAAGGAACAAATCCGCACTGGAAAGAGTCTAGGGTTACCATACGTCTGGATTTTCCCGGACATGTCCGGCTTTTTGGGCCTCAAATCTCCGTCCGGGAGGAAATCCCAAAAAGCCGGACATGTAGGGAAAATAGGGAGGGAGGGGTCGTGGGGCTTGGGTCCGGGCCGGAGCCGCTGGGGCCAGCAGTGCTTGGCCGGGGGCCGGAGCCGCTGGGGCCGGCGGTGCTCGGCCGGGGCTGCTGGGGCCGCCGGGGCCAGGGCGGGCCGGAGCCGCTCGGCCGGAACCAGGGCCGGCGCTCCAGGGCCCGAGCCGAGCCGGGCGGGAGATGCTGGGGCCAGAGCCTCTTGGCCTGGGCCGACCGGCCGCCAGAGGGTGCCGCTTGGCCGGGGGGGCCGGACTGGGCCGCGCCGCGCCCCGCCCCAGCCCCAGCCCCAACCCCAGCTTACCTGCTGCCTCCCTGTTTCAGGCTTCCCGCGAACATTTGATTCAGAGCAGAGCGTTCAGGGGAGGGGGCAGAGTTGGGGCGGGGACTTTGGGGAAGGGGCGGGGCTGGGAGCAGAGTTGGGGCGGGGCCCCTTGGAGTGTCCTCCTTTTTTTAAATTAAAATATGGTAACCCTAGTGTTGCCTTATCAGTTGCTTCCATCTCTTATGTCTGTGAAAAAGAAACAATGGGATTCTGTTCTAAGGACTGATTTGGGCAAACACTTGTTTATGTCCAAGTGATCACCCGCATCATCCAGATTCATAAAACTTTGAACTTCCCAAATCAAACTTGTGCACAGAAGCTGAATCTGTGACTATTTTAAGGACAGAGCACGTTCTAATAGATATTCCAGTGTCATGGGAAGTCAGCTGTTTATAATGGGCACTCTCAGGAGTTGTAACATTTATCTGCAGCCCAGTGGCTTTAAAAAAAAAAAAAAAAAAAGGGGGGGGTGGGACATTTTCTTACCTTTGAAAAAAATCAAAGAAATCCAAAGAAATTAGTTTCAGTCTGATCCTTTCAACTGGCTGCTTGTTGATCACTATAAATGAGAGCTAAACACATCAACAAGCATGGTGAAAAGGCTTTTGTAAAGCTGATTTGATACACTGATCTGAATGGTCACTAAAACCTAATTACACCGTAAAGTGATTCTCATTAGTATTGGTAGCAGAATTTACTGTAAGTGCTTTCAAATCACCATCAATTTATGCTAAAAATTAATTATTGAGTTCTTTTCCTTTGTATTAATCTGGCCCCTTACAATGCAAAGTTTGTCTGACTATTTCAAAGGTAAAATTGCCACATTTATTTTACGACCCTGTTAAGACACGTCTGTGCAACTTCTTGTACATGGTTATGGTAACAGTAATCCTTTCAGAACAAAACAATTCCATCTAAACAGAACATATAATGTAATTCAAATGGTTTTATGGAATAAAATGTATTTGAGTGGCATATCTACACTGCATATAAAGATCCTGTGTGAGTCGTACACTCCATAACTGCAGCCATGCCCTTCAGTGTTTATAAATGGTAAAAAATAACCGAATAATAAAAATGCAGGAATGAAAAACACTTGAAGGATAATTCAAAACAGTACAGTCCTTGATATATTATTTACATTATGGTGTTTGCAGAGAAGAAACAATTTGTATAATACTGTATCTGTATTAGTGTTTTAAAAGGGCACATTATTTAAGTAATACTTTTTTATTTTGGAGTATTAAGAAATTGTATCTTAGAGATATAGAACAACCTTTTTCTTTTGTGGGTGATATATTGTAAAGGAGGAAGACAATTTTTTAAAGGCTGAACAATTTTATTTTTTTTCTTTTAGCCCTAGACCACCAATTCCTCTGTCTCTCCTATTATCAGAAGAAGAAGCATGCAAAATAATTCAATCATTCTGGAGAGGTTATCGGGTAAGAGTCAGCTATAATTATTTTGCATGATGCTGAATCTGTGTGACTGTGAAGGCCCTGGAGAAAACCCTTACATAAATTTTAAGTAGCAGAGACTATAAATAACTTTTAAGACCACTATGGTTCACTGGCGTTGGATATGCTTGTATGTAAGTTGTCTAGTGGCTCAGATCTTTTCACAGGAGTTATGGCAATGCACTCTGCTTTGTTTTCTTCACAAAGAAGCTTACTAGGGCTGTCAAGTGATTAAAAAAATTAATCGTGATTAATTGCACGATTAATTGCACTGTTAAACAATAATAGAAAACCATTTATTTAAATATTTTTGGATGTTTTCCACATTTTCAAATATTTTTATTTCAATTACAACACAGAATACGAAGTGGACAGGGCTCACTTTATATTTATTTTTATTACAAATATTTGCATTGTAAAAAACAAAAGAAATACACCTCTACTCGATATAACGCGGCCTGATATAACATGAATTTGGATATAACGCAGTAAAGCAGCGCTCCGGGGGTGGCGGGGCTGCGCACTCCGGTGGATCAAAGCAAGTTCAATATAACGCCATTTCACCTATAACGCGGTAAGATTTTTTGGCTCCCAAGGACAGCGTTATATCGAGGTAGAGGTGCAGTATTTTTCAATTCACCTAATACAAGTACTGTAGTGCAATCTCTTTATCATGAAAGTTGAACTTACAAATGTAGAATTATGTAAAAAAAAAAAAAACTACATTCAAAAATAAAACAATGTAAAACTTTAGAGTTTAGAAAGTCCACTCAGTCCTACTTCTTGTACAGCCAGTCGCTCAGACAAACAAGTTTGTTTACATTTGCAGGAGATAATGCTGCCCACTTCTTGTTTACAATGTCACCTGAAAGTGAGAACGGGGGCGTTGCAAAATATTTACGTGCCAGATAAAGATTCATATGTCCCTTCATGCTTCAAGCAACATTCCAGAGGATGTGCGTCCATGCTGATGGCGGGTTTTGCTAGATAACAATCCAAAGCAGTGCGGACTGACACATGTTCAGATGCCACCAGCAGAAGGTTGATTTTCCTTTTTGATGGTTTGGGTTCTGTGGTTTCTGCATCAGAGTGTTGCACTTTTAAGACTTCTGAAAGCATGCTCCACACTTTGTCTCTCTCAGATTTTGGAAGGCACTTCAGATTCTTAAACCTTGGGTCGAGTGCTGTAGCTATCTTTAGAAATTTCACATTGGTATCTTCTTTGCATTTTGTCAAATCTGCAGTGAAAGTGTTCTTAAAATGAACAACATGTGCTGGGTCATCATCTGAGACTGCTATAACATGAAATATATGGCAGAATGTGAGTAAAACAGCAGGAAACATACAATTCTTCCCCAAGGAGTTCAGTCATAAATGTAATGAATGCATTATGTTTTGAATGGGCGTCGTCAGCATGGAAGCATGTCCTCTGGAATAGTGGCCAAAGCATGAAGAGGCATACGAATGTTTAGAATATCTGGCATATAAATACCTTGCAATGCCAGCTACAAAAGTGGCATGTGAATGCCTGCTCTCACTTTCAGGTGACGTAAATAAAAAGTGGACAACATTATCTCCCGTAAATGTAAACAAACTTATTTCTTTTACTGATTGAACAAGAAGTAGGACAGAGTGGATTTGTAGGCTCTAAAGTTTAACATTGTTTTGTTTTTTAATGCAGTTATGTAACAAAAAAAATCTACATTTGTAAATTGCAGTTTCACGATTGAGAGTATACTACAGTACTTGTATGAGGTGAATTGAAAAATACTATTTCTTTTGTTTATCATTTTTACAGTGCAAATATTTGTAATAAAAAATAATAGTATAAAGTGAGTACTCTACACTTTGTATTCTGTGTTGTAATTGAAATCAATATATTTGAAAATGTGGAAACATATCCAAAAATATTTAATAGATCTCAATTGGTATTCTACTGTTTAACAGTGCGATTAAAACTGCGATTAATTTTTTTAATTGTGATTAATTTTTTTTGAGTTAATCGCGTGAGTTAACTGCGATTAATCGACAGCCCTAAAGTTTACAGAAAATTTTATTTTAGAAATATTGTTTTCCCTTGGGAGCCCTCCAAGTTTTATTTCAGCCTTTAACTAGTAGGTGTGGGATAAAATTTCCAAATTGTATGTGTGGGTGTGGAGGTGGACATGAGAAAGATTGATGGGGAAAGTAAAGAAAAAAAAGTGTAGTATAGAGAGCGGGAGAGAGAAATGAGACATAGAAGGAGACAGAATATATTTAGGAAAGGTAGAGGGCACAATGTAAGGAGAGAGAGAGCAGGAAAATGTGGAAACAGACATTGAAGACAACTTAGGAAAAGATATACCATGATCTCTTATAGGAAATAAACATAGAGCAAATCCAAGAAGGGCAAAAGAAAGTAAAACCAATAAGGGGTGTAGTAAGTAGTACTGGGTAAATTTCTTATTTGACAGTTTTCAACAGTTTGCTCTATAGTTGGCTTACATACGATTTGTTGAATAATAGAAGATGAATATTTTTCTGTTATTCACCAGGTCTACTAGTAAATTTATATATATAAAAAAATTATTAAATAGAAAGTTGATTGACAATGTTACAGTTAAATACACCAAATAGTGAATAGTACACAACTGGTTACTTCCTTTAAATTGAAGGGAGCATAGGTTTGGGAGGAGGGGCATGACCTGTGAGGAGTGGTGGTATACTACCCTGGCTAGTTATACTCTTAATTAACATACCAATTTTTCAAAGCCATTGCTCTTAAAGTGCTTTAGAAAGAAGGTTAAATAACATGATCTCCATTTCATGATGAAAAAAATGAGGCACAGAGAATATATATGCAGAATATTTAATTGTGTTTATAGGCAGGACTGGTAGCATGCCCAATACTTCCCATTTTAAGAATCTGTTTTTCAGTGGCTACTGACTTCGCTAAACTTTTACCATTTGGGCTGAAATCTTCCGAACAGTTCGGCCATTTCCAAGATGGAGGCTAGGGAAACATACATTGTTTTGCCAGTGTTAAAAAATTCTGGCAACCTTTTCTTTGAAAAACTCTAGCATGCCCATATTTTGGAGCAGCATTTGAAATTTGGCAGAGTGGAGGCCTTTGTATCAAAAATGTGCTGTTTGCTGTCCTCATAAAAATCTGCCCAAATATGGCCAAGTCAAATTTAGTCTTTGAAAAATCATAATTTGCACATGATCAATAGAGACTCTATAGATTTTAGCATCTAATGTCCCTGAAGATTCTGTCTGCACAGGGCATGCACCAGCCCAGGACTGAGCAGCACCTGGAATTGCATCTCTGCAGGCTGTATCAGGTCTGAGTCCAGGCACCTGTGCTCTGAATGACCCCTGTGCTAGGCTCAGGTAGCGTGAAGGAGGAAGCTGCCTGATTCAAAAGCAGAGGGGACAAGACCTAGACCTACAGTGGGGCCTGGGAGTGAATGGACTGGGGCAAGAAGCCTGGAGTGAAGGGAGAGATGGAAACTGGGACTGGGAGTTGGGGTAGGTGAGACTGAGACTGGCTAGTCAAGGAGATTGGGACTGGGAGTCAGTTGGCCTGGGGAACATGCTGGGGAGTGGGGTGGCTGTAGGCCATGATGCAGGAGAGAGAGATGGATCAGATGAGGAGCCAGGAGGGGGTGGCAGAAACTTAGACTAGCTGGGCAAGGAGCTAGGAGAGAAGGATTTCGAGGCCTGGGAAAGAACTGTGAATGTCTGGGCAATGAAGCTGGGCTTGGAAGTCGGGGGAGAGTGGGATGCAGATAGGGAGTCCAGAGGGGTCAGACTAGGACTTGCTGGACATGGAAACTGGAGTGAGAAGCCTGAGGCGTGGAAACTGGGACTCGCTGGGTGAGGAGACTGGAACTGGGATAAGGATCCAAAGGTGAGAAAAAGATAGGAGTGGGACAGACACACGTTGGAAGGAATGGGGCAGACTAGGCCATACTTAAGGGGGAATAGGCAGAAGAGTCCGTACCTACTAGAGCACTCTCCTCTCCAGAGCCTGGAATGGAGCCCAAGCTTTCTGTCTCACCATTTGTCTGTTATCAACAAGTATTTGTGAAATAGACAGGCAAAATGTCCCATCCCCCTCTATTGCTGGTCTCTACTAAGGATGACAATCTGCTATCACTAACTCCATTAGCTCAAGTAGCAAAGGTCAGTATGAATGATCTAAACAGGGCCAGCTCCAGGCACCAGGCACCCAAGCTGGTGCTTGGGGCGGCACCTGGAGGGGGGCGGCGGCGCGGCGCTCTGGGCGGCGGGGGGGGGGGGAGAGCGGAGCCCCCGGCAGGGCTCGCTGCCCTCCCCCCGGGGGCGCGCGCGCCCCCCCCCGGGGGGGGGGGGGGGGGGGCGGCCGGAGGCTTTTTCGCCTGGGGCGGCGAAAAAGCCAGAGCCGGCCCTGGATCTAAAGCAGGGGTCGGCAACCTTTCAGAAGCAGTGTGCCGAGTCTTCATTTATTCACTCTAATGTAAGGTTTTGCTTGCCAGTAATACATTTAAATGTTTTTAGAAGGTCTCTTTCTATAAGTCTTTAATATATAACTAAACTATTGTTGTATGTAAAGTAAATAAGGTTTGTAAAATGTTTAAGAAGCTTCATTTAAAATTAAATTAAAATGCAGAGCCCCCCCAGACCGGTGGCCAGGACCCGGGCAGTGTGAGTGCCACTGAAAATCAGCTTGTGTGCCGCCTTCGGCACGTGTGCCATAAGTTGCCTACCCCTATCTAAAGGCTCCAACCTTGCTAATGACCCATGTGGATGTCAGTATAATGCCTCATGATGGAATTTCTGTTCTTTCAATTTGTTTTTTTTTCAAAACCTATGAAATCACACACAAAAAACTATGTTAAAAGGTTATTCTTAAGGTTGTAAAATCAAGCACTCAAAAGTTAGGAAATGCCGGAATTAATGTTGTCTGTGCAACCTTAGTTCAACCGTTTTGTACATATGCATTACGTTACAATCTTTAATTA